GGAAAACTACCACTTAAGCCACAATGCCTTAAGACTGTCCCTACACGGCATCATAGCTAAAGGCGTTTAGGATTGTGTGTTGGGGTTGTGGGGAAGTAGTGTGTTCGCGAGAGCTTTGGGAGTAGGGATTGTTTGCAGGACTTAAAGCTTCAGACTTGACATGCAGGGCTTGGGGCAGAAAGCTCTAGGCTTAGCATGTGTCAAGGTTCAGTATTCCTTCTTTGCGTCATGAACTGATAAGGTTTTGTTCTAAGAGCATACACAACAATGTCATTCTATTGCAAAATAGTATTACGTCAAATTACTGCTGAGCCCAAGCCTCCAGGACCACTAAGCATGGAATTCTGTGGAATGCTGCCAGGGGACTGGAGCTAGTGCAGATCGCTCCTTCTGTGAAGACTGCGGGGAAGGCTTCTTCGGCTCAGAAGGATTCTGCACACTTTGTCCCAACGGAACGCAGCCAGTGCTGGGCCAAAACTCTTCGTGCAATCCATGCCCACCTACCACCGCTGGAACTCTCGGAGTTTGTTTGCAATGCCCTGACGGTACACAGCAGAATGCAGAGCGGACATCATGTGAGCATCTTGGCTTAATGACCGAGATCCCTATCACCCAGATTCCTAGATCTTTTTGGTACTAAGGATCTGTCCGGTTGGCACTGCAGGAACTGGCGGCATTTGCAGCGAATGCCAGTATCCGCTGATGCAGGAACGGATTTAACTTTTAGCCGCAGTGTTGGCTTCTGACAAAACCTTCTCAACCGTGTGAGGACTTGGCTCGCATCTCCTGCACCGAGCAGCCCGGGCCGAGCCTACTGTACGGAGCATCACGCTGCAGTGAGCACAGCTGCAGGCAGGGTGGAAGGGCGTGCGACAGAGCCGGCCCCCTCTACTGTTCCGGCCATCTGAGTAATCTCCCATGAGCCTATGCTGCGGAGCCTGTTGCTAATGTTCCAGTGTTATGTTCTTTTTGAAGAGGTAGCTCCTCATGACTAGGAGACAGCTCAGTTACAAGATCACTCAGGTCCTGGAAGATGCACAAGGGCCTTAACCTGGTATTGAGTTCCAGCATAGCTGTAGAGTGGCAGAGCGTGGCCACTTTATCTTTGCAAAATCATGCAATAGGTCCCACGGTCGTTGCCTCTTCACGGGCGAATTCCGGCCATTGGTGCTCACGGGTGCATGCTCCCCGCTCTCTCTCTCTCTCTCTCTCTCTCTGTTGTGATTTTTGTGTTGCTGGACTTGGGCAATTCAGATGGGTGGATCTTGAAACAAGAGAGCGGTCTGATGCTTGACTTCCTGGCATGGAGTGTTGCAACTGGCAAAGCTCTTGCTCCGTCGCTGTTGCTCGCAACTTCTACCTTGTTGTTGAAGCCAAGTCCCAGCGTCCTCGCAGCAACCACGGTCTTCCCTTTTTTTGCTGCCAGCCATGCTCAGGGACCACTTCCAGCATTTGGACCCCGACAGCTTGTACTGCTGTCCCACCCCCAGAGGCCATGGAGAAGAAAGCTGAGGTGACAGACCAATTTTGAAGCTTACATTGCAGGCTTCTCGTTGGCTTGCTGTGACTCAGAGGCGCCTGCTTTGTGTGTTGCTACACAGCATGTGCAGCGTGAATGCAGGCCAACTCAACCTTGGGGATACCGTTTAGTGCAGGCCAGAGGATGCTGATAATTGGCATACGTAAAGAGTTCCAGCAATGTGCCAAGAGGAGCTGATCTGGTTATGAGCTTCAGCTCTCCAATCACCTTTGCAGCTTGGTGCCGCAGAAAGATTGCGGGATTGAGTCAACACAGCGGCCTGTCCAAACATATGCTGACTATGTTGGCATGTACAAGGCAGCGGTTACGGCTGTGGCACAGTTTTGCACCGGTCTCTGGATTTGTCGACTTTGGAGATCAGAGCAATGGGCGGACACTGCATTGCTGAAACAGATGCCAATTCAATGCTCACCATGATGCTCATTTGCCTGGCCCGCTTGATGCAGGACTGGCGTGAATCACTGACAATGTCTTTTGTCGGTACCGCCGCAGCTTTGGTTAGCCTTTGCTTGCATTCGATTGGATTGCCGTCCCTGAGCTGCATGCTGATGAACGAACGGAGCATGACTCTGCATTACCTTTCACGCAGCCTCAGGTGGATCCTTGCAGTTGGGCTGGTAGTCCTGCTTCCATCAACTGCTTTGAGCGTTCTTCTTTTTGCAGGCACGTGGCTCCGTCTCTTCTGCAATCGCTTACAAGTCTCTCTGTCTCTCTGTCTGAGGCATGCAGGCTGCTGCACATCGTGTCTTGTTGGGCATCGAGCCCATTGCTCGAAGCAGGGCGCAGCCCTGAGTCCAGGTTGGCTTAGGCCCTTAGGCTTAAGCTTTGACTTCAGAGAGGTTCCTGCACTGAAGCACTGAACTGCAGGCCATGAAGAAGGCACGTGCCATCCTCTATGCTTGCGGAGCCGCCTTGACATCTCTTCTCACATTGCTGGGAGACCTGCGCTCAGCCAGCCACGGCAGCCCGCAGTCGCACGAGTCGCACGAGTCGCACGTAGCCGTGGCTGTTTGCCTGCACTCAGGACTGGATCATCGTCCATTTCCTCTTGGTACCGGTCTCGGCCAGTTGTCTGATCAAGGCGGAAATCAACCTGTGTAGCGGCCCAAACCAAGGTGGACTTTGTTTCCGCAATACGCATGAATTCCCAGTCCACCTTGAAGGACGCGCTTTTCAGGCAAGGCAGGTGTTGCAACTGGCCGAGCATGCTGGTAGCTTGCTGAAAGAATTTTTTTCTAGGCCAATGCCCTACGAGTACGTTAAACTCTCAGCGCAGATTGGTGTTTTAACATCGTTTGCGAGCATTGGCCCTTGTGCTCGAGGTTGTGGGCACGCTACCTTTGCCGGGCTTTGCACGGTGTCTGTCTTGGATTCTGTGCCGCTGGAGAAGGTCCATATGATATCCCCGACTGGCAGGTACTTGGTCATGCTGGCAGTGCGGCTGCTTTGGTCCCTTCAGGTACAGAGTGTAGAGTCCTGCTGCCCATCAGTTCTTGACAAAAAGCTTGCCTTTGGCAGGTGGCCGTTTCAAATCTGCCAGTGCCAAGCTTACAGTTGACTGCTGTCAGGGAAAGCCGAATTTCAGCTGGACCTCATTTCAAGAACCATCACAATGAAAGCGTGGGCCCTGATTTTGCTTATTTCCTGCCAGATGCAAGTTGCAATGTACTCGACCGCGGAAGTGGGGATCATGGTGCTGGCCTCAGCACGTTCGCCGCAGTGAGGCAGCTCTTGGCACTCTTGACTTTTCTTAAGGCTGCTGCTGCCATGACATACGCAGCCACCTCCTTCAGCATCTCGGTGCATGTGTTGAGTCGCTTTGCTTTTGGCGAGGGGCTGTCAAGATATCTTCCTTAGTCCTAGCTGTCTGAATACATTTGAGGCTATGTTCTGCTTGCATCAGACCTGCCTGCACGACTGGTGGCAGCAAAGCAGTGTGTGGCCTGGCAAAAACGCGGTGACCTGTGTGTTATTGGTGCCAGAAGCGGTTTGGTGATTGATCTCCTCAACGTCAGATTCTAAGCTTTTTTCCATTTTGATCATAGGGTGGTTCCGGCAGGTGGTCGTGGGCGATCTGGCCACGCTGACTCAGGCTGATCAGAGTGCCTACACTGCGTACATGTTGCCGAGTTGTTGCCAACATTTGTTGCAAGTTGTGTTCGTAGATGTTCGCAGCTGGAAGGCTCTGCGGCTTGTCACAATATGCGGCCTGGATGCTCTGCTGTAACATTCACGTTGTTGTTTCGGTTGCTGTAAACGATCCGGGCAAGTGAAAATGCAACGCAAGTCTTTAGTGATCTCTTGTAATTATCACTTCCACTGGACAACGCATCTGCGCAGGCAAGCCAGATTCTAAAGTCGTCCTTTCTGCAGCCGCAGTAAGGAAGTCTTCCTCAACGTGTTGCTGCGTATTGCTGCTGGTTGGCCAGCCAGGCAGAGCACGGGTGTAGAATCTGGGTTTTGGGCACTTGTGGTAGCTACAACGCTTCCTCAGGTTGCTGCCTTTTGTTGCTACGCTTCTGTTTGCGACTCAGACGCTCAATCCGGCATAGTGAATCCTGTCGTGGAACTCACAAGTGCAGACCTCCCTGCATTATTTAACCCGTCATTCTCTGCAACTGCGGCATGCCTGACATCCTTGTTTGATCTTCTGCCGGCTCCGCGCGCGGTGCCTCGCCCTGGTCTTGAATCTGTTTGCGACACTGTGGCTGCAGCCCAGCGTACAGCCGGAAAGCTACATGCATCCTGGGACCAGATTACTCTCAGCCTCTCCCCTGCATCAGAGCTAGAGGATTGGCTGCCAGAGCTCGACCCCAAAATGAAAGCAGGGCTCTGTGTCCTCATGTCCCGCTCTCGTCCTGTCACAGTATAGCAGTATAGCTTTGCCTTCGCATCTGAGGCTGGCACCACCAGAAGGTGTGTCTGCTTGGACACCAGGTGCGAACAAGCACTTGTTACATGTTGCGATGTATGTTGCGTACGATCCTGCAAGACTTGTCGTCTGTTTTGGCGCTCTTTTGTGCAGCCTCGAGCTCGGGCTTGGAAAGAGATTTGAAAGACTTGGAAAGGCTTGTGGAAAGCAACTCTGCCTGAGGTGATCGCTCAAGTTTATGCCGTTTGTGTCTGGGTGTGGCTGATTGGGAGCACGAGGCTCCTGTTCTTGAGCATCCGAAGCTCAATTTGGCTTGGTGGCCTGCAGGCAGACGACTCACATGGGAAATCCGCCGCGATTTCTCGCGAGTGTGCTTGCGTGGACGTCTCGTGATCGCCTACTCCATTTCGAGGAGCTGCTGTGCGCATTGTCTAAAGCTCAATTCAGTAGGCATCTCTGATGATTTGCATCTCTGTGGTAAATTTAAAAGGAAGAGAGCACCGAGGAGTGTCTCGGCCTGCTACGAAGGCATAGAATAGGCCCGTGACCACGCAGCATTGCTGTGCCAGCACTTGATGTCAGACTCAGGTATTTGGTATGCGCAGTGCTTCGCGCGCTTGGGCTTTGGCAGAAGGAGGAGGATGAGGAGGGACCTCCGAGCGCGGTCTCCAGTCCACGCAGCCCTCGAAGCCCTCGCTCAGATCGTAGTCCCAGGTCAGTCAGAAGCCCGCGGAGTCCTGGGGCGAATCCCGAATCTGGCCGTTTCAGCCCTGGTCGGGGAAGTCCAAGGGCCAAGGGTTCTTCGGGTTTAAAACTAAAGAAGAACCTGGGCTCTGTCACGGCCTTGCTACGCAGAGCTACGCGGGGAGACAGTCCCAGCAACAGCCCCAACAGCAGCCCAAGAGGAAGCCCGAGATCTGATGGTGCCCCCAGTTCGGGACCAGGACTTTCCACGGCCAGAGCCTTGCAGCAGTCCCCAGCACGCTTTGCCCGCCTCGCCGATGGAACGCGCGTGGACATTGCAACAGTTCGCAGAGTTGAAAGCCCTGGCAGATCGGGAAGAAACCAAAGCCCAAGGAGTCCAGGAAGAGCTTTCAGTCCCAGAAGCCCTGGCAGAGGGGCCAGTCCCCGGAATGACGCACTGAAAGCGGATGCAAACAGACGGGGTATGCGTGTGAATGACGACTGGAAGATTCAAGTCCCGCCGGATGAGCTAGAGACCGGTGAGCAATCTCCGCAAGAAGTGCAGAGGCCGCACTTGCGTAGTACTGCTTGTGTCTGCCAACGTTCGGGGATTCGGGTTGTGATTTTTTGCGGTATGCAGGTGGCGCAGGAGGTGCTGCCAATGCGTATCCCGGCCTTGTATGTGGAATGGCTGGACTGGCAGATTGCACGTTGAAAGCTAAATCCAGCCGGGCTGAATGCCAACCTCGATATGTTGTTCCGACCAAGGTTTTTGCTGTGGTGGTCTCCTGTCTGAGGCGCCTTGCATGTCTTGGTTGCGCAATGTTGCGCGCAGTAGCTGCTATATCTGCACTTCGCATGGATTTGGCTAGCGCTCACCCTCACACCAGGCGCTTGTGCACGCCGTGCTTACGACTCGCCACTACCTGCTGGCCGCAGCGCGGCTGCGAAGCGCGTAGGAAGATAGACAAGCACAGAACAGCTAGCAGCGTTGCCAGTCAATGCCTAGCTTCTCAGGAAGAAGCGCATCAAGAAAAACGGAAGGCTGCTGGGAGAATCCGCGTCCGCCTGGTTTCAGAGACACGTGTGGAATGGAAACCCCCAGTCGAACAATCGTGAGTAATTAGATGATTCGGAAATGGTGGTGGAAGCAGCAAAGCCCAATTTGGCAAGCCAAGATGATCTGTTGCAGGCAAGTACTGAGACGGAGAGGCCTTGCGCTACTTGTGCTGCTTCTCAAAAGGTTGCTGGTCCCGTCTGTCAGCTCTCTGCTGATGTCAGTGCCTCTTGTATCCTTTTGTCCTTTTGCAGACAGGTCTTCTTGTGGACAAGCTGTGCGCTCCTTACATTCATGACTACGATCAGGGTTTGGGCTAATCCGCTGTGCCCTCAGCGGCGCAACTTTCGAAGTTGCATGGTGCAGCAATAACATCTTGTCAAAGCCAATGCTTGGAGCGACAAGCCAAGTACCACAAGCCATTTGCCAGCTTGGTGTTGGCCTTTTGCATCCGTTGTGGGACTTCTGCATTCCTTGCCTAGATGGTCTGAGTAGTTGCGAGAGGGCCTAGAGGCACTTGCAAACAGCAACAGCAAGAGAAGCACAATCCAGCAGCGCAGCGATTTGAAAGCTTCGGTGCTCCGACAAAAAAGCAAACAAGGAGTATGCCTATGCAGCCCAGTCAAGAAAATGTAAAGATTAAGTGACATGATCCCTTCCGTCGTCTCTAGCAGATTTCAATGTCAGCATCCTGAAAAGGTTCGCTCAGCCCAACTGCTGTCCAAGTGTAGCTCCCATGCATTGCCATCTGAGCGGCCCAGGCGAGAGAACGGTAAGACTGGTTCCCTCATTGACATGTGGGAGGACTGCCATGTGCAGCATTTTGACTGATGGTCAATCCTTTCAATGGTTGCTGTACAGGATATAGCAGAACTGGGAGGCAAGCAAGTAGACGTCATGCAGCCAGCACCTTGGGAATATGGGCATTTGTATTCGTACTTTCACTCTGGCCACCTCTCCCAGATTCAGAAAAGCTAAGGCTTGCGGTTTTGCCACGCCCCCTCTACAACGCTGTGCCCAAGTCAAGGGCTTACGGCACAATTCTGCCGCAAGATTTTTACAGCACCTGACTTTCCTATCTCACTGCAACTGAACTTGTCCAGTGTGCTGCCGAGGCCTAAAGTGCATCTGTGGCTTCGTCAACCTTGGCTTCGGTTGTTTGAGTCGCTCAAGGCGGCACCCAAAAATGGCTGCCAAATCACAGTCACTCTTGAAGCGCCAAGGTCTGCGCATTCACAATTTGCGGCTTGTGGAAGGAGGTCTTCTGATTGGTCTGTCTTGCAAGCAGTTCCCAACCTTGTAAGTTCAATAGATGCCCTGAGGGGGCCAATCTATCCCCATTGCGAGTTCGCTGGCGCTGCCGCGAACTTGTCAAGCAGGCTCCGCTGCAGAGAAAAATCCTTGCAAAGCATTGCAAAGCGGCATTGGCAGTTTCCCAGGCTGGTCGAGGGTATCTCGATCAGGAGGATTACGCAGTGACTCAAAGCTCAACAGCTGCCACCGTGGCATTGTTACTGCCAGACTCTGATTGGAAATGACAGCTGCTCTGCTGAAGACATGACAAGACCAACTTGCCTTTAGGCTTTGGCTGCCTGGCTGTTCCATATTCTCACTTCCCGCAAGGTACGGCCGTGCTATTTACAATTTACGATGCAAGTATTTCACACGTCAATGCTTTCATGAACGTGAAGGTATTGCAACTCACCACCTCTCCGAAACATGGATGGTAGTTTGGTGCCCTGCTCAGTGGGCGCATAGCTTGATTTGGCGATGTCCCTTAAGATGTCCCACCTCTTGATAGCAGGACATCATGAAGCACAGGATCCAGGACGCATGGCAATGGGTCTAGCCTTTGAATGTGCGGATTTTGCATTGCATGGCTGACAGTGCAGCAGCATCAGCAGCGCAGGATTATGTTGAGAATGGCCTCAGTTACAAGGACACAGCTCGATCCATGTGGTAGCTGTAGTGGCATGGGAGTCCGCATTTACATATTGTGCTTTTTTCATGTCTAGGTCTAGGTGTTGGAGCTTTGTGCAAGCGCTTGCAGGAAGCGGAGGTAGCTCTGCGAAAGTACTTGGCAGCTGGCGAGAAGAACCTGAAGATACGCATGCGGTATCTGGCGCGTGCCAGAAAGGTTCAACAATGCATCAGTGTTTTGAATGCATCAGTATCCTATGGATATCCCTACCTAGAGGCAATCAAGGCCTGGGTTCATTGGATCCAAGGTGTTGCGATAACAAGCTGTTTGCTGGTTCTTGTGAGCCCGGTCACGATGGGAGATGGTGTGACTTGGGCAGCGCCAACATTCTTCCTGCTTCTCTTCGCCCTGGTGACTTGGTGGCTGTCAGAAGCAGACTGAAGTCAGTGATTTGCTGTGACATGTGGATTTGCATGGTCATATTGTGCGGAATGCTTGAGAGTTTGTTTCGGGGCTGTGGGTCCAATTTCGGCGCACTACAGGCGACGGCACATGCTCTGATGGAGCGCTTGCTCATTCCGTGGCTCTCACCCATGAAGATCACAATGCTGTCCGTTCTCAGGGAGATTCCTGAAGAAATTGCTGTGATGGAGAAGGTTCTGGAAGCCTACAGGAGCTTTGCTTGCATTCGTGAAGTAGATGCCTTGCCCCGTTTGCCTACGATTTGCTCAGCTCCTGCCGTGAGGAACTTCCCCCAGGAAGAAGTTGAGAGCTCCGAAGATGGGGAGGAATCCTCCGATTATTCCTCTGCAAATGAATCTTTCCTGGACGAAGACCCGGCGTCGGAGAACCTTCCTGAAGTCCTTGGTTACTGGTCGGTGAAACGTAGTTGCAAACGAATCCTCGAAGCCAGGATGGCCAGGCTGCCAATCATCGCGCAGCCATATTAGGGCCATCTTCCAGTAATTTTGCACCTGCAAACCATCGATCATCGTCACACGTGTCACATCCGTACTTCTCACCTTATGTTTTCCATCTATGACCGCTCATCCTTTCATGAATTTGCATCGCACTCGTCATCGCAATCAGCACTGTCATCATCGGCAACGTTGCCATTCATTAAGACGGGTCAGGGACATCATCACGATCTTCTTAGTCAACAAACCAGCGCTGGCGGCAGCAGCAGCGCCGTCGCCGACGCCAGGACACCAAACCACCTCCATCAGCGTCCTCATCAACGTCCTAGAAGTTTGCTGTCCCCATCGTTTATCAGGCTTTTCATCCTCTTCATCACCACCGCCACCAATCGTACATTTTTCTATATCTTTCAGACCCTTTGCTGTGGCTTTCCTGTTTGCGCAGCGTCTCATGCACCTGAGTTTCGTAGGCCATGGCGTGTAGAGGTCCAGGCCTTCGAGCTTTCGAGTTTAAGCCTGCAAAGCTGAGCCCGTGGGAAACTTGTGAGGAAACACGAACAACACAAGTGATTTCTCAATACTGGAACATTTTTACGCTGCCCTTGGCACATGCAACAAAGAGTCTTTTGAGTTTTTCGTGTTTGCGCGCGGCAGGCGTGAATCAGCTCGTGGCTTGTTTCATGTTTGAGGTTCCAAGAAGGTGAAGATATTGGTAAGACCGAAAGCTGCAAGACTTCGCATGCGATTCGAGCTGATGCGAGCACTGCCTGCCAGCCGCGGACTCAGCAGGGTTCCACGAGAAGGGGTCAATGATCATCAACGATCGAATTTGCTGCTTTTGTTGCATGTTGTAGTGCAGCCATGCAATGTGGTGAATCCACTTCTTGACATTCACAACGAGGCGGCGCCCACCTCTTGCGGTATCAGCGTGAAGAACCGCTGAAGTATGGGCGCTTACTGCGAATTCCTGGACTTCTACCTCCGCTTGTTCGTCGTGGTCTGAGATCCAGGAAAGACAGATACTATAGCAGGAAAACGACCCAGGACAGCCACGGCAGCCAATCTTTTCATGCCTTGGAGTTGTTGAAGCTTCAGCGCAGGACAACCTTCGGCAGCCAAGAAGTGCTGCGACTTGACCGCATGTCAGCGACGCCCACTCTGCCAAACGCACAGTCCTTTTGGGAGATAAGGCGCGCGAAGTGCAAACGTACAGCTTCTCACCAACCCCGGAGAGCGACTGGAACCATAAAGAGCCTCTTTTCCGGCTGCGTCGGAGCCATTCGCTGGGGACTGGAGTTGCTTTCGAGAACAAGCCAGAGGAACGGGAGCCCAGAGATCACTGGGATCTCCATTCGGACATCTTTGATGAAAGTTCCCGCTCTGGCATCCCATGGATGCCCAAAGTATCAGAGCGAATGCCCGAAAGGGGCTTGGTGGATCAGTTTGAGATGGTTGGCACGTTTAAACCTCATGCCCAAGCTCGGTCTATCAAGGAGGTCGCGCTCACTGGTCTTATCAGAGACACGCGGCTGGGTGATAGACTATTAAAGACATTTGCAGTCCTGCCCTCAAATTTGCGCGTCATTGCGATGTAAAGGGCTGGCAAGATATCCTTAAGGCTGTGACTGGCATGGAGACAGTGCCCAGAGCTTGTCAGAGCAGTTTGCTTCCACCGAAGGCCTGAGACTGCTAAGCTACCAAGGCCTCAAGACGTCTGGCAGGAGCCAGTCGATGAAGCTCTGGAGGCAGAGCACTACAAGGCACCACCTGCGGAGACGATGACTTAGATTCCACGTGGCTGATGTCTGCCACAGAGGCCGTGGATCCGAATGCTCTGTCAGCTTCATGACTGAACTTGGATGTCGTGCGAAATGATTGATGCAATCCGAAGCCCTTTGTTCGGTTCGTCAGTGTTGCTAGAGGTGCCTTCTGGTCGAAACTCTGGGCCAGACACAGGGGACACAGGCTCCGATCCCACGCAAGCCCAAACTGGTTAATGTCAAAGAACTAAGTTCCCTTGCCATTTTGCAGGGACTGTTAACGATTCCCGGAAATCGGAAGAGCGGCATCTAATTGGATGCTGCTAGGGTCCGACCAGAAGCGTCGGGCCTTGATTGTAGGACTCGACCCAGCGCGGGTCAAGAAGATACCAGGTGCCCAAGTACGCATACGCAAAAGCTGAAGAAGGATCTCTGGAAGTGGCAACGAAGTACTAGTGAAGCAACGTAACATGCTCCTCAAGCATTTTGTGCCAGGGTCACCTTTTGGATGTGAGCCTTTTGGGCTTAGAGCCGCGCTGCCAGCTCTGCAAACAAGTAAGCAGCTTTTCAACCTTTACTTACATGTGGCTAGAACAGCTTCGCAGCAACTGTACACATCATTTTCAGCGATCTCCGGCTGCAGATCACTTCCAGCCTCGGCGCCTGTCCAAAGATCATGGCAGGCACGTCCGGGCAACATGCCTGGACCGAGTTGATGGACCGGAAGCTCCTGAGAAGGCTTGCGCAGATGGAGGGTCGTGCGGTGAACTCTTTGCAGGACCTGGTGGAGCGGAGATGGGGTGGACCTCAGGAGCCTTGAGTGATTTTCAATCCGGGCTGAGACTTGTATCACTTTGCATCAGATGGTTGTTTGCTGGTGCATTACATGAGTTGTGGAACGCCTGTAAACCAAGCCGATGCTGCCCTTTCACTTTTTTTTTGAATTAAGGTTTACTTTCCGTCCAAGCCTTCTCTCAGCCGTTCGCCACCAGAGTCTCCTCACCGCAAGCCATGCTGTTGGCATGCGCAGAAGCCTCAAACAAGCACACGGAGGCTAAGCATCGGGGGCCAAAGTCACGAAAGCTAACATATGGGCGTGAATTCAGTCCACCCGCTGTGCTTCACGATTCTGCGATTGATCAATCAAAACTTCCGAAATCTTGGGACAGAGGGGCTGTCAAAATTTCTTGAATCAGGAAGAGGTCGACAAGGGAATTACAATCGATTCCATCAAAGGAGTTGGAACATAAAGGGGGCTGGCGCCCAGAGCCGGCCATTCCGCGCAAAGCGAAAGTTGGGCAAACAGTTGCGCCTGAAGGCTGATCATTGTCAAGGCGGCCATGTCGTAAAGAAACGCGCAAACGAAAACGTTCTATTCACTGAAATCACTACAAGTAGAGTGTAAGACCTCACGAAATTGAACCTGGAACCAGTCTGCAATGCCAGCATCATTGCGTCCCTTTCTTGTGGCCTGGCGGCCCTCGACGGGAGGGGGATCTGAAATCAGAGGAAGCAGAGGGTTTAGGATTAAGGACAAGCATTGCCAGCAGCACATCCAGCATGTTTTGGCTACCATTTTGATCCGTTTTCTCCCCAGCGGCTCAAATTCCTTGTCACTCATACCCATGGCAATGGTTTCGCTGCTTCGACCACTGCAGAACTGGATGCAAGCCCCCAAAGACCACCAATCTGGGGTCGGTTCAAACATTTCATATTGACACAACAGCCTCTATGGCCAGCATATGCCAGCATCATCAGCATGATTGGGGGGTGTCTTTCCATTTTGGGTGCCCCTTCGCGGGCCCAAGGCCAGCCTCCCGGCTAAAATCCATTCGTGTGACCATGGTGCAGTTTTGCCCATTGGGCGGGACAACGACGGCGTAGGATCCGCTCGTAATGAGTCTGCTGGTGTGAAAACGTAATGCCCAGTTAGGCACTTGGGGCGGGAGGGAGGGAGGGAGAGTTAGGTGCGGCAGGGACGTCGGGCTGGCGCGGATGTGCATCTGATTTGGGTGCAAAGTTTGGGGATGGGGGTGGTGGGGAGGGGTGTGGTCTTGGGCTTTGAGTTCCGGCGGGTTTGGGGATGCATGGAGGGGTCTGGGGATGTGAGTACACAGCCTCGCAGCCACGCTGTGGCATGATGTCAAAATACAGTCCATCATCTTGCTATGATGGGCGAAGCAATGCCTGTGCGAAGGGGACAGGCCCGGAGCGCCGTCAAGCCAGACGCTCGTTGAAAGACACTTCGCGAATCACTGTAGACTGGCAATTTTTCCTGTGCAAGCAAGGCTGTGTTGGGGGGTGGCACCATGCGAGCAAAGCTCACGGTCATCAGGCCCAGTCTTCATAGACGGCCTCGTTTCCGCTGTCTTCATTTCCACCACCACGAGCTGCCGTTGAGACTTGTGGTGCCAGGGTCGCTAGGCTGTAGCCTTTTTGCCCTTGGACTCTGGGCGGCCCACCTCGAACCTATCCTTTGCACAAGCCTGCTTGTTTGCGGAGACCCTGTGGGCTCCAGGCATGCGCGGGCAAAAGTTGTCCCTGAGATATTCACATACTCACGCAAGTGCGCCAGTGCGCACACTTGAAGAACTACTTTTCTTCACCAGCAACTACTTGTAGGATGATGCCTCTGTCTAGCAGACATTGCAGCCCTACCAGCATGCGGCAACTGCGACCATCTTCATGCAATGTTCTCCAGCACAGTTTGCTCATGTTCATCAAGGTATTTACGATCCGGCGTTGAGCTGGGCGCCTGCCTTGTGTGATATTTTTTGGCGGAGTGCACTCTCCTTTGGCAGCCCATAGGCAAGCATGTGTGAGGGGACACCGAGCAGCTGTCAGGCCATATGAGGTTTGCTTTATCCATGGAATGTTGAGGCTTACCCCCGCGTGGGGCCCGTAGGCTGCTCGATCAGGAGCGAAGCCCACCATCCGCACTCAATGAACCCTGAACTTAAGAAGCGGTTTCGGTGACATGTCGAATGACAACCGTCACCTCCTTTGATGCGCAGTCGGTACTGGACGTGGTGCTGTCAGACTGTTTAGCCCAGCCGGAAGCAAGCAATTTTCCAAAAGGTGCGATCACCAGGCAGAACAAGCTCCAAGGTGCGCAGGCGGACCGATGCTGCTATAGCTCCGTCCAAAGCCTTTGGCGCAGCGACGCAGCGTCGTGCTCCGTGATATCGTGTTCCTGACGAGCAATGAGTTGATGGACTAATATGTGACTTCTTGACTCCATGTTTTTGCTATGGGCGTGCTTGGGGCTGCTGGCTTTCCTTCCCCTAGAACTTTCATCTGGTCATGTGGTGCCGGTGGCATGTGGTGCCGTGGACGGAGCAAAAAGATCTTCACTGTGATCTCAACTCTTATACGTAGTACTTGCAGGGACAAGGCCTGTCTGCATGCCTTGAAAGCTGGTGCGAGGCCTTCTTGGCGAACAATGCTGAGCTCTTTAGGAGTCCCAAGGTGCCCCCTTGTGTGGAATCGTGTTCGGTAACGGACATGTGTAAATGCAGAGGCCGGTGAGAGAAGGCAAGACGCAGCCTTCGACAACCTGGTGGAGCAAACAGGCGGCAGGCCTGACTTGTACGGTCTTCTGTTCAATGGTGCTGCATGTGCTGCCTAATGCGTTGGTGCTGCACATATGTGGCTGGAACACATGTAGCAGCTGGCGCGTTAACTGATGGTCCGAAACAAAAGCTTGGCTCCAATGCCGGTCACAGTTTTGTTGCGTCAACAGCAGCGAACCACAGAAAGGATTCATGCTGCTCTCTTAACGGCTTGTGCTTGCGACAAATGTCTATGGTCTATGATACAAAAGCTGCCAATGGACCACTCAGACGGAAAACGTACCCTTTTGTATCCTTACAACGCGGTGCCTCTCTTCTGAGGTTTAGCGTGGTCAAAGCCAGGCATGCTTTTTGTGCAGCACAGTGGTGCAGCAGTGGTGCTTTGCATATTGAGGCTGTCAAGAAAATAGCATCGCCTCATTTGCTCACTTGTCTCTGACAGACCCCTGTGTGTGCGTGTGTGTGTCTGTGTGACAGTCTGTGTGTGCAGCAGCTTGGAGAATCGCAGACATGTCAGTTTGATGCAGCAGCTTGGAGAATTGCAAACATGTCAGTCTGGTGCAGCAACTTGGGCATTATTCAGGTTCGTGAAATTCCATAACAGGTTGAGACCTCGAATACTGCATTAATGCAGATTGGGAGCTGAGACTCCTTCAACTCAACTATGTCGGGTTGAAAACCTTTCAAGTGTGTCGATTGGGCATGGCATTCCCTCGTGGC